CAACTTTTGCATCTGTTTGATGCAATGCAATGCTTGCCGGTATCGGACCGGTTTTGTTTATATCCTTTTATGCCACTTTTGCTCTGGTTAGCTATGAGTTCTCATGCCTCAAGAGGAGGGATGGCTGATAACGATTTCCTCACATTATTATACTTGCCTGGATGAAAATACTATAAATATTGGATGATAAGAATTTTTGCTCAAAGCAAGTCAAAAACGGTGCATCTGATGTTTCAATAAACTACTGATGTTTTCTGTATATTATATGGTTTTGCTAACCCTTCTCAATCTCTTTACAGGAACTGATAAATTGTAGAATTGTTGCATCACAGTAAATTCACATCAATATATATGATACCTCTTAAAGAGCAGGTAAAGTGTGCCTCGGAGTCCTTCTCCACCCACGTATCAATTTTAAAAAATGCAACATTAGTAGGCGTTGCCTGGAGGACCGAGAGGGCGGAGCCGCGGCAGTGACGAAGACGATGGCTAACTAGACGATGCTAGCTCCCTTCACTCTGAGCAGTTATTAGAAGTGGAGGACGTTTCTCCCCCTCCTTACCCAGACACTCGAGAAGAAAGGGACCAAGTCTATTTGGAGGAGACAAGCGGACCTGAGCCTTATTGTTATGAGCTTGTGAGTTGCCTGAAACTAGCAGAACCGACCCAACAGAACCAGCTCTGAATGGTATGTAGCCGTTAGCCATAGCATTGGATTAGCTGCAGGGTTTGGCTCCACGGCCCTAGAGAGCTAGTATTCAGCATGTTTTAGAGGTTTATCTGCTTCAACACACCTGGTTTTAATCAGCAACAAATAGCTGAGCTGCTTAACAGCTAATCTAACCTGTTAAAGCAGGAAAACCACTGAAACGTACTCAGGGTTTCTGCAGAAATCAGCAAAACAAATTTAATGCTTTTTAATGCCATTTTAATGCCATTTTTAACCTTTTTAATGCCATAAACAAACACACGTGAGAATCCACGGATATATATGTACATAAAAAAATCCTCTGAGAACTCAATGTATTATAATGTACCCTGAGATAAACAACAAAAAAATGTATGCCTGGAACATAGCAAATACATAGTTGCATGGAATGTTAAATGTTATTGAACATGCTACAGCATTTTTTTCACACACAACAGGATTAATGCATGTGCCTTAGCTCACTAGTTTTTGATTCCAGCTCTGACTCAACATTTGTCAGTTCACTGCATTTGTCCCTGTATCTCTTCCTTAGAGTATTAGATTTTGTTATCATTTGAGCCATGAGCGCGCACGGTTTATTTGCTGCCTGTTCAGCTAGTTGATCAGCATCTTTCTGAAGGCTGACACACACCACCCTTAATATCTCCTTTTTCTTTTTCAGCTGTTCTAGCTCATCTTCCAATGCTTTTCTCTTAAGTCCATGCCTGGCACCCTCTCTCTTTAACATACTCTCTTTAAGTTTTGGCCATACTTCAATAGCTCTCTCTCCAACAGGAATATTTTCCACCCATTTGTGTCCACAGAATGGGAGTGGAAAAAGAGATGAGCCTGTAAGTTATGTAAAATCTTCTCTTCTTGCAGGGACATTGTGAAAAAGAAAGTGCATTGCTCTTAACAGTTTCTCAATATTCCATGTACAGTGGGGCAAAAAAGTATTTAGTCAGCCACCGATTGTGCAAGTTCTCCCACTTAAAATGATGACAGAGGTCAGTAATTTACATCATAGGTACACTTCAACTGTGAGAGACAGAATGTGAAAAAAAATCCATGAATTCACATGGCAGGATTTTTAAAGAATTTTTTTGTAAATCAGGGTGGAAAATAACTAGTATTAAAGGTGAATACACCAATATTTGCACAGTAATAATTTCTGTTTTAAACTCTCAGTGACACACTTTGCAGGGTGGATTTGGCATTTAATTTTTCTTGGCGTCTGGAAAAACATCTTCTTTTGCCCCCTTTATTTGACTTTCTGCCCCCTTTATTTTGGTCCAAGATCATTACTGGGCTGGCCTTATTAAAAACATTCTTCACCCCTGCTTAGTAGACTTAATGAAGTATTTTTAAGCCAGTATAAAAATGACTGAAACACAAATTTACATATTTGGCATTATTGACCAATATTTTTGATTTAATTTATTTGTTAAGAACATCAAGATGCATTACAGTGAACATTATAATAAACTGGGCAGACACTGTGCGACTTTTTCACTCGTAACACAGCTTCAGCTCAAACTGTACGACTTCAGCGCAGGGTAGATCTCACGAGTCATGTGCTCACTGTACGTCTGGTAGCAACACGTCGGACCTAAAATATGCTAAAAATAGCAGTTTTTACACGACACGTCAGACTTTTGTCTTGTTTTGCCTGTTGTCCTTCGGGAGTGCTGCAGGAGGACACACAGGGATTTATGGGGGTTGGATGAGGAAACGACATAAAGAAAGTAAATCTGTGTTTTGTGATCAGTTTAATTTGACATGAACACGACAAACACACTTTCTTGACGATCTTTGTGAGTAAAAAAACGTGTAGAAACAAAAACGAACAGCGTGTGTTATTAGGGAAATAGCGGGTGAGCGGAGTTGATGCAGGATTGCACCGTGAGCGGTTCTGATACTTTTTGGGTCGCAGCTGCTCGCAGCGCCGCTTCAACCCTCATGAGGAACGAGATAAATATTAAACACTCCAGAAGTCCGTGCGAGCTCACGATTGCTGATCGGTAGCTGGTCACGTGGTGTTAATCGCCTCTCGTAACCCCCTGTACACGACGCTCAGCGCAAAACTCGCTCCGATCTCGTGGATTCTCGCACGAGTGGAAAATCGGCTCAAAAAAGTGAAAAAGTCGCACAGTGTACGCCCGGCTTTACTGTCTGTGTGTGTGCGTTGATGCCTGGGCCGAGCTGACTGAGCTCCCGGCTGCAGTTTTGTGTGTAGGGAGGGGCGGGCGCTGTATCTGACTGGCCAATCACAGAGCGTGAAGACCGTCAGTCACCCAATGAGAATTTCATTCAGCACGATTACAGATATTTTCGAGTTATACACTCGTTTCTTGCTCGTATTCGTCAAAAATGCTTTATCCGTACGCTCATAGCTGTAACCACCCTGCCGAGCCTCCTCCTCCTTGCTACCTGCCGGCTGTGATCACAAGCAACAACACAGTAGTTCCTGCTGCTTCTTTGGGAAACGGCGCAAAAAAAAAAAAACATCAATAAAACTTGGGATGTTGTAGGCGTGGCGGTGTGATTTCAGCCGTGGCGGCCCGCCTATGTAAGGGAAACCCTGTACACTATCCAAAAGCCAAGCTAACACTAAATAAGTATGTATAACACTAAAGGCTACGCTAAAGACTAGGAAATGCTAATGCTATATGCTAATGCTGAACTACGGCTAACCTCCTACACTCGCTTGCAAATCCAACTCCCAACTCGCCACAAGGCGTGGCCGAGACGCTCGTTGCTTTTATAACTTTGACACAGAGCTGCTACGTAGTACTCTACTGGTTTACGTAGTATCTTACTCTTTAGCCATTGGCTAAAATTTATTCAAAATGACTCAAATTCTATGTTTTAAGCTGAAGGTGGCGCTATACTGTGGTATTTAGGCAGAATTTTTAATTTTTAAAGAAAATGCACCAAAATGCTAAAATAATGAATACACACATTTAAAACACTATTAGACACTCATTTACACAGTTCATCAGCAAAAACAAGTTAATTTAGACGTTACTTGCTCTTTAAGCTTATGATGGTGTTGATTTAGCTGATTTCCATTATCTCACTTGTATCTCTAAACTGCTGTTTGATGTTCTTGTCAGTTGTGTTTGCCTTATCATGTTTTATTATTTTATTTGTTCTTAATTATTTTACTTATTTGTTCTTTGTTTTGTTTGGTTATCATATTCAGATAAACAGGAGGGATTACGTTACAGAAATTTTATATTTCATTATTTTAATCCTATTAACAAATGCATCACCTTATGTCTGAAAGCATTCACACACACACACACACACACACACACACACACACACACACACACACACACACACACACACACACACACACACACACACACACACACACACACACACACACACACACACACACACACACACACACACACACACACACACACACACACACACACACACACACACACACACACACCTGTGTTCTTTCCTTATCTCATGTTATAAACTAAACTTGCAGAGCTGAACTTGGGGCAGTTGCCTCGTTGCTTCTGCCAGATTGCAAGTTGGTTGTGTGTGTCTCCTTTACTGTCTCTCCTTTCTCTTCGACTGCAGGAAATGGGTTTATTGATAAATATATTGATAAAATCCCTAACAGACACGTTTGTGAATTAAATGCTACAGTGGTTTGCCATACTCCTGCTGCAGTGTGTGGAGTAGACACGAAGCAGCAACCGGACTGCGGTTCTGCTGCATGGCGCTGCAGACAGCTAAGAATAAACAGGATGATGGGAACTTTTCTTCTGCTTGTAGAGTTCAGATATTCTTAGTTTCACAATCTTCATGTTTGTTCGGAACCTTGCTTTATCGTGAGCTTGCGTGCTACTCGCTAGCATTAGCTAATTGCCTAAACTTTGGATCGTTTCTGCCTTTTTGTCTTATTTGCTGGTTTCTCTGTTTTCCTCCTCAGCACCTAGATTAGCACATTGTGCGCCCATAAAAAGCATCTTCCTTATTCAATAACAAGCAACTTACCTTGTTCAATAAAGAGGGAAAAATAACTTGAAAAGATGTTGCACCAATGCTACGTCTAAAAATTGTTTATTGCAGAGTTTTTTCATCGCACGTGCCACACATATGTCACACTGTCCAGCCCTGAGCTGTACGCCATAATCATCACAATTACAGCAGATAAATCCAGAATATCTGGCTGCATGGGATGAGTGTCTCATAAGTTAGTTTCACCTTTTAGTATGAATTACTGACATAAATGAACTTTTGCAGCAGTTTCACCTGCATGTGGTGAAATGAATCTGAAACTCACCACTCAGCAATTCTACCCAGCTCTGCACCGTCTCCGGTGGCTGGGTGTCTTTGATGTGCTTTAAAGCCTCATCCAGAAGAACATCACCTGTTGGAGCATCTGACTTACAAATCACCTGCAACAGTCACACACAGACACAGTTACAGGAGGACTCTGCTGACCGGAGCTGCTACAACAGACACTGTTTTTATAATTAAACAGCAGCTGGACTCAAAATGTTTACTTTAGTCAACTATTTACTGGGTCGTCAACAAAAAGTGTTTACCTTCCTGGCCAGCAAACTCTTCCTCCTAAAACCACCCGTTTCCAGCTGAAGGCGTCCCCGGAGGGCTAATTCAATCAGCATGCACCCTCGCAGCCCTGATGATATGCAGTCATTCCAGAACGAGGTGTAGCCCTGCATCGAGTAAACACCGTGTCAGAGTACAAACAAGTACCATAGAAACTGCAGAAATACTTGTGAAAAAAATAAATAAAACTAGAACTGCAAGCAGTTATCAACGGGTTTCAAGCCAACCAGCGCCAGTCTCCCAACCGGCCCCGCCCTCACCTTCGCCATTCCTCACGTGGCCCCGCCCCAAAAACACCTTCTGCAGCTGGCGTCCAGTCAGCTCACTTCGACCGGCGCAATGACAGTAACACTCAGGACACGTCATTACACCTCTAGCACAGCCTATACACACGTCTTTCACAGGCATGGCTGACTTCTCAATCCCGATTACAAAGGAACTCCACAGTTTCCTGTTAAAGAACGGGAAGATTTAACGAGTGAAGTCATGTGCTGCATGGGACGGCATCAGCTCAGGAAGTGGAGCGGCTTGTGCAGTAATCGACAGGTTGAAGGATTGATCCCAACTCTGACCAGAAAACGCTGCCTCGCCTCTCAGTGCACCCCAGGGAAGGAGTGGCTACAGTGTAGCTCATTCCCACCGGCGTGTGGCTGGGTGTTTGGATGGACTCCTGCTGGTGTCGTGTCAGCTCTCTACACCGGCAGAATGAAGCGAACACAGGACATCTCCTTGAACCTTTTGCACAACCTACAGGAAAATCTTTCATAGGCATCGATAACATCTCAGTCTCCATTACAACCCATTTTTCTCATTTTACTTTTAAAGATCGTGGAGATTTAGTTAACCAAGTCATGTGTTGTATGGGACAGCAGTAGCTCAGGAGATGGAGTGGGTTTTCCAGTAATCGGAAGGTTGTGTGCTCGATCCCGACTGACCAGAGAATGCTGCCTCATCCGTCAGTGCTCCCCAGGGCCGCTGTGGCTACAGTGAAGGTCATGCCCACCAGTGTGTGAGTGTGTGTGTGTGAATGGTGACGGACTGATTGTGTTGTAAGCGCCTTGAGGATTGTAGAACCCTACAAAGCACTATAGAAATACAGGCTATTTACCATTTCATTAAAAATGTTTTTTGTTAAATAAATTTCCAAAATATTCTTGGATCATCATGGGGTCCTGAGAAACCAGGTTGTCATTTTATTGTTTCTAAATTAAATGCTTTTTCAAAAAGATGTACAATTAAACGGACCGATACAAAAACTTCACTATAAAATCCATATTTGATCTAAAGATTATCAAACAATAATCTATACATCAACAGAATATTACAAATAACACAAATACTCGATAATGTCCCTACACAAGAATTTCACTCGCATGTACTGTACCAGTGTACCTGCACATGTGACGTGACAATAAAAGTGATTTGATTTGATAGGTTTAACAAAAACTATGAGTTTCATTCCGTGACTCAAATGATTTTTAAAAATCCTGAAAAACACATAAATCATCATAAAATTACCAAAATATTCTCACATGGCAATGTTAACATGCGGAATAATATGCTGTCGTTTTTAAATCAGTAGATTCAAAGATTTTTTGAAGAAAAATTGGTAAATATAATTCTACGGGTCACGGCCAAAATTAAAATATTCATAAAAAAATGGTGCTACTTTCTAAAATTAGTAGAAAAATCTCGGATCACCATAGGTACATGTGGAATGTTATAAATGGTTTATATTTACTGTATACCTAAAAAACTTTTTAAGCAAAAATTATTTACTTTTTTGTCCAACTATACAGAAAAACTGGCAAAAAGTTAATTCATTAAAAATCTATGCTTTTGTACAAAAATCTCTAAATATTGCCAGGTTACCTTTGTGATGAGAGACTTCTGCTTATATTTTTGTAGGGATCATAAATGTTAAACTTTTCTTACAATAAAATAATATTTGCATTAGTGGTTGTCAATAAAAATAAGTCCTAATAATAAACACAAGGGGGTGCTCACATCAAGACTACATAATATGTGTTTCATAAACAATTTAGGAGTGAACTTTGTGCCAAATTTCAAGAAGATTGTCTTAGCAGAATTTGCGCTATAAGTGCTAGCCTAAAAATGTATTTTCGCAAATATAAAAAGCAAACCTGTCCGTGGAGCTGTGAATTTCGTGATATGAACTTAAAGCTACCCTGTTAACACAACCTAAAAATCTTAGCCTCTTACATGCAAATAATGATTAAGAAATTTCTCAAATTTGAAATGATTATAAAACACTCCAACTTTGATGGATCATTACCATATTGATAATGTCGTCTTAAGACTCTATAATGACGACAACCACTAAGGTTCGCGCAGATCCATTTAGCCAGTTCAGCAGTATAATTTCTTCGTATTTATAGCGCCCCCTGTTGTAGAATCAAGCTGAAAATCAAGATATACACTTGAATTGACCTTAGATAATGTGGTTATGAACAGCTTTGAAAAATGTCAAAATGTTTTGAAGTTATACTAAAAAAACCTTTTTCATTCAAATTTTTTTTTTAAAAGTCATATTTCAAAAAATAAGCACATTATCCTAAATCTGTCCACATCCGTTTGGACAGCCGCTCCTCCTCTCTTGTCAGGCAAAGTTTTGATTGTGTTTGGCGGCCGGGAGGAGTTAACGAAAGTACGTTTGACTTCCTATGCAAATTTCTACTAATTTGTATGTTTAAAACAGGTTTTTAAAAACTCATCTAAATTTGACTGACTCAATGAACATACGGGATGAGATCATTTGTTTGTTTGTTTTACTAAATAAATGGGGAGAAATATGCCAAAATAATTTTTGGGGTAAAACAGCGCCACCTATTGGAAAAAATTCAAATTTGTTTTCTGTGATTGTAGATGTCACTATGACTGATATGAACTGTAACTTTCTGTATAGAATATATATTTTTCATGAGTAAAAGGGCGAACATGTTTAAAGCCTATAAGCCACGCCCACTTTATCATTTTCAAAATATGGCTTAAAGAGCAAGTAACGTCTAAATTAACCTTTTTTTGCTGATAAACTGTATAAATGAGTGTCTAATAGTGTTTTAAATGTGTGTATTCATTATTTTAGCATTTTGGTGCATTTTCTTTAAAAATAATTAATTCTGCCTAAATACCACAGTATAGCGCCACCTTCCGCTTAAAACATAGAATTTGAGTCATTTTGAATACACTTTAGCCAATGGCTAAAGAGAAAGATACTACGTAAACCAGTAGAGTACTACGTAGCAGCTCTGTGTGAAAGTTATAAAAGCATCAAGAGTCTTTTTTCGGTAAGTAAAATTATATTTATGTATTTTAGGTCACTGCCGAGCTGAGCTTAGATTTTAACATGTACTGTTTAACCATGAAATTTAAATGTAATAGGGTAAAACCCAGTGCATTTAACATAATGCTGCACTTTAGAAAATGGGTTGAAATATAACATGTTGGTGGAGCTGGGTTCCCACTATCGGCTTGTGGAGCTCTCGGAGACCTCTGTGTTCCACCCGGTTCTCCCCTCACCGCAGCTCGGCGCATCTCTGTCTGATCGCAGCTTCTGTTTGCTGCGCGGGCTGACTGCTGGTTCTTCCCGCAGCTCGGCGCATCGGTCTGATCGCAGCTTCTGTTTGCTGCGCGGGCTGACTGCTGGTTCTTCCCGCAGCTCGGCGCATCGGTCTGATCGCAGCTTCTGTGTGCTGGGCGGGCTGCCGGCTTGTGGAGCTCTGGGATGGAAACCTTTCCACCCAGTTCTCCCCAGCGGCAGCTCTGTGCATCTCAGATCGCAGCGGCGCTTGTCTGTTGTGCGGCTGCCGGCTTGTGGAGCTCTCGGAGACCTCTGTGTTCCACCCGGTTTTACCCAGCAGTCAGCCCGGCGTATCTCTGACTCAGACGCTCTGGTGTTGTGCACAGTTAACTCCGGTTGTAGCTAGGTTGCTACCTCCGTTAGCTTAGCTCCCACCTCCGCATTAGCTTTGGGTTAGCTTCAGGTTAGCTTGTAGCTAGTTCGACCGGGTGTCGTCAGCTGATCCCAGCCTTACAGCCCCACCCTCAGCTCCTCCTCTCTTCCCTTTTTTGGTAATTGTCTGGGCTTGACGGAACCTGTGACACGGTCAAAATGGCGGTGGTGGCCACCTCCCATTTTAGCACAAAAACGTGTTATTGGAGCCTATGGAAACCCATTGTCCAGTATATATGTCGATGGGTTAAACCCTCCTAATCTGCAGATATCTGACAGGTTGGTTATCATGAAGCAACCATCTTCTTCTTTGGGTACACCTTTTAAGAGATTGTCCATGTTAAAGTTGCTTTTGACAGTTTCTATCACCTCAGCTGAGAAGTTCTGCTGATTATCTTCAGCAATCTTTCTCAATGCGTAACAGGCACAGCTTGGAGAAGAGACATCACCAAATATATGAACAGTCATACGATAGGGTACTGGTTCCTGGTTTACATCTCCATCTGGCCACCACAAAAATCCTAGAAAATCCAAATGGTCATCAGCCGCCTTGACTTGATGAAACATTGCTTGAGTATCTGCCATTATAGTGATTGTTTCTTGTCTGAATCTGGTTAGAACTCCTAATAAAGTGCTTGTCAACTTTGGTCTGTGTTGCAGTTGACTGTTAAGAGAAATTCCTTTAAACTCAGCACTACAATCAAACACAACTCGTAGTGTTTTCTTTTGTGGATGAAACACTCCATGATGAGATAAGTACCAAACCTTTCCATCACATCCTTTTAGCTGATGTTCAGGTACCCTTTTTGCATAGCCCTTTGCTAAGACATCAGAAAGGAAGTTTGTGTATTCTTCCTGGAAAGCTTTGACCTTTTGGAATCTTTTACAAAAAAAAATCATGCGTTGGGTTGCCATCGTGAGGTTATTGGGCAGGTTCGGATTTTCATTTTTGAAAGGCAGGTGAAGTTTGTAATGTCCATCATCCAAATGAATAGATTTTTCCATGATGGTCATAAACCTCTTAGACATTTCCTCCTTTTCATTAGAGAAACTTTCGTTGAAGTCGTGTCTGTATTGATTCGTTAAGATTTCCTCCAGTGACCTAACTTCAATGTGGTTAACATGCACTCTAAT